CTCAGCCTCATCCCGCGGGAGCTGAAGGAAGAACTGGAAACACAGGAGAACCCGGATCCCTATGGAGCTGCTGCCTGCAACGACCGGAGCTCGGCAGGGCGGAGACCTGGGGAGAAGGTACGGCCGGAGGCAGCCCGGGTCTCCATCCACGGCATCCCCGAGTTCCATCTCCCGACACCCGGAGCTTCACCCCCCGACACCCCGGGGCTCCTCTGCGGCACCCCGGGACATTCCGGGATGACATCCCGAGGCGATACCCCCGACATTCCCGGGCGACATCCCCCGATACCCAGGGACTCCTGCCCACGACATTCTGGGACAGCACCCAGCGGCACCCTTGGGACAGCCCGGGTTTCCATCCCACGTCATCCACAGCGTGGCCCGGGGCTCCATCCCACTCCATCCCACGGCACAGAAACACACTGAGCAGATGGGTTCGGCTAGCACGGTGTTTGGGGCTCACTGGTGGTGTCTGACACATTGAGAGCTGCCTAGCTGAATTAGAACTAATACCTGTACATATTCAGCTGATGCATAATAGTAATAACTGACTTCTTTGTGCTGGGTGTTATTTATTGCATCAGCATTGCATTGGAGACTGCTGGAAGCGCAAATAACATTATTAGACAGTGCTACAGCTCCACCCAGCTTCATGGCACAAAATGGGACAGGTTCATGATCTAGGTCCCCACTTAAAACAACTCCCAGAGGACGAGATGAGAAAGATATGTTGACCTTCATTATTTTGGCACAAATGTATGTTCTTCAGTCAAGCTAAGACTGTATTGAAGCTCACAATTATAGTTGAACATGTAATTAACTGGTGACTGTTGATGTTGACTTCATTGCAGTTATTCCTACTTAGAATTTCAGGCACCTCTTCAACCAGTCCATTGCTTAACTAATGCCAGTGATGTAGAGGATTTTTATTATCCTGCTGCTTAACTTAGTAATGCTTTTTCTGAGGGTTATATAGATAAATAGTCCAATGTGTCACTTTAAAGGAGGAAGAGATATGGGAGAGCTCCAAGCAACAAGAAATAACTGCAGAGACCATCCACCTATTGAGGAAAGATCTCAGTAAAACAAAGGTACACACTGTACATTCATCACCTACTTTCTGTTTCCACTGTTCTGGACTGGAGATATGATTGACTGCAGGGTTGCCTTCCAGTTCAGAGCAGGAATCTGCCTTTTTGTTTCCTTCTTTTCTGTCACAATTCTGTTTATACTGATAAGGATGAATATACGGCATCAGCTACGCTAATTTGTGTCTTGGCTGGCACAAAGATCACTGGAGTTGTGCACTGTTGCATTTTTCTGCTTATCCCAGGAATAGCCTGAATGTTTCTGGTACACTTGGATGAAAATTACAAATTATAAGAGGAAATATTGAACTTTCTGAGTTGTCAAGCAGAGTGCACAGGCCATAAAATAGCCATGATCCTTAACATGCCCCAAATCCCATTGCATGTAATACAGGATAGCATCAAATGTATTTTATTCCTTTGAATAAAGTTTTCTGGTCTGCAGGGGTCAGTAAAAGAGCACATTAGATGGGGCAGAAATTCTCATATTCCATTCATCTTTTCTAACCATACAATGAACTCCATATTTTCTGCCTTTCAGGAATATACATCTCAGATCAAAAGCCAGATTATTAAAGATTTCTGTTGCATGAAGGAATATGTTGAAAGACAGGAGAGAAACACACTGATGGTCATTGAACAAGAGCAAAAAGCTGCTCAACAGAAAATTGAAGAGACTATTCACCAGCTCAAAGACATCAAAGCCCTAACTGTAAGTGATGAAATGAAGTGGCAGAATATGAGTAGAAAATCTCAAGCTCAGTGTCTGGGATAGCTGAATATGTACAGAGCACCTTTGAGGTCCCCACTGCACCATTGTCATAGAGACAATGGAACCAATCCACAGACACTGCTGTCAGCAGGTAGAGTTTGGAGTGAGAAATTCAGAGAAAAAAAGTACTATAAGAGGCCCAGGCTGGGAATGCAATTCAGAACTAGCTTTTTTTCCAAGGATATTGGTGAGCTGGAGTGAAATGGGAGCTGCAGTGCTGAAATCCAGTCCTCAGTCAAATCTAAAGTCGAGATCTTTCATGATCTTTTTATTTTCCAGAATTTGTATTTACACATAGGTATGCAAGTTAAAGAACTCACAGAGTTATGAAATATTTTTTAACAACTTTCTTGGGGAAAACATGTCAAGGGCCCTCAAAAGACGCAGTTAAAGCACTTCAGATTGTGCAGAGCCTGTTTTGATGTTGAGAATAACAGTGCCAAGTGATGCAAGTTAGCCAGCAGGAATTAGGAGTGAGGCTCACTGGGTGTGGCAGTGCCACAGAGACAGAATTGGACTTCCAGGATCCAGGCACAGGTGCCCACACTGGAATTCACCTGATCCAGGGTCCTGTTGCAGGCAGTGAGGGCAGATGGGTACTTTCAAAGTTATCTGGCCTACTTGAGATATCCACCTGCAAAGGAGGTTAATCCAGCTTCGAAAAGGCTGTTTCCTCCTACAGACTGTACTCACATTCTAAGAGAGGAACTTCAGATGTAGATTTCCACAATTTCTAAATTTAGGCAAACTAAGTTTACCCTTTCCTTGCACTACATTTTCAAACTTTCGGTTTCAGTTCTAGAAGAAGAAGGAAGTTTAAAAAGAATATATTTGTATATTCATATGACTATATATATATATGTATATATATAAAGAAAAATTAGTCACATTTTCAGTTTTCTTAGGGAAAACACAGTCTTTTTATTTTTTAATAAGAATATCCTTCACTATTTTCTGTAAGATTTCACGCTGGGTTGCTCAGGTAACTGTCCTATAAAGAAAACTTTTGATACAAAGAATAAGATTATTGGAGAGATCACTGCTCTTTTTCCACTGGGGCTTTATATTTGATCTGTGCAGTGAAGTAACTGCTGTTGTTTACATCTTTCCCTTGATACTTTGTTGTTATTAGAGTGACTTATCTGAGAGGCAGACATATGAAGGCTCACCTTCAACAATAAATAAAATTACACTTGATGAGAAACTTAATGTTGTCAAAAGTGCTGTAGAAGATCTTAAGAGAAAGTTGGAAGTTTTACTCTTGGAGAATTATGCTCAGCAACTGCCAGCAGGTGAGTTTCCCTTATTTTGAAATATTTTTCTTAAAGGCAATGGATCTAGCAAATAGAGTAAAAAATTACTTTGTGTTTATGAAATGCATGTGCAAATAAGAAACACAATACTCAGCAAAAAAATAAAGAACACTGTAAAAATTTTTAAGACAGAAACTGCTTTATCTGCATAGAATGATCCAACTGCTTTACCCATCTTACTCTTCTGACAGTTCCCTTCTGACCACACCAGCATAGAGTGTTTTGTTAATTTTGGGTAAAAATGTTTGCCTACACGTCCTTTGTAATTTATGCAATCATAAAAAGCAACTCCTTGTTTTGTACTTGAGCCAGTAGCTGGCTTTATTCAAGGTGTATTTTCCTTTAGAAGTTTTCTGTACAAAATGTACTTTCTGTGTACATTTTGCAGAAATACCTTAACACTTCACCTATTTTTGTATTTAGTGCAGCCTTCAGACCAGGAGCCAAGTGTCAGCTCATCATCTCCAGAGTCTGCAGCTAAAAGTCCTGAACCAACCATTTCCAGCCAGTTTTCTCAGTGTAAGTATCCAAGCCAGCAGGGCTCTTAACAACATCCAGGTGACCCTAAGACTGGATTTGCTGAAGAAAATTGTCCTTGCCACCATAAACAGGAGATGTGGCTGTTTACTCAAGCATGGAAACACAGTGGAGTTGCCATGAATGGATCAGATACTGACACATAATGTAACGCTGTACCCTACTGCAGATGTGGGATGAAAAAGATATAAGAAACCTGTTTGATGTAAGCTGTGTGGTAGCTTGTGCTGGCTGCAGAGTCTGAGCTGGTGTACAGGTAGTTACTGCACCTCACTGATCTTTGCTGTTAAGCTGTAATTACTCTAGTTGTTACTTGAATTCTTCATCATTTTGACAGAAACATTTTTACAATCAACACACTACTACAGCTGTAGCGTAACACAGAAAACAAATGTTTTTGCTGATAAAATATATAAGAACTATTTTTATTTTAAAAAGATTGTGGCTAGGAATAAAATCCATCTTGTAGGGTGCAAGGTACTTTCACCTTTCCACTGGGGTGCATATGAGGCTGTCATGGATATTTACACAGTTGTGCCTACTAAATATTTCAGTATGTCCAGAGTGGTTGATAGTGCTTGGTTGAGGATTCTTGAACTTTGATTCAGGTTTATGGTATGTCATTGGGTTTCATTTCTCTTCTGGAGCAGGGATGCACCTGCCTTTTTGTTGCCTGCATGTGAAAATATTTTCCTTTCTGTCCTTCAGGGGCAGATGATGTGACTTTGGACCCCACAAGAGTACACGAGCGCTTGGCACTCACAGCCCAGAACAGGAGAGTGATGGTGTCCAGCTACCTGATCACTTATCAACCATCACCCAAGAGATTCTCCATCAGCCAAGTGATGTGTTCACAGGGCTTCTCTACTGGGTGCCACTACTGGGAAGTAATTACCAAGGACAGTGATGGATGGGCTGTTGGAGTTGCTCATGAAATGATTGGTAAAAGGGACAAATTGGGAAGAACTGAGCATTCCTGGTGCGTAGAATGGCTGGGTCCTAAAAAACAGCTGTCAGCATGGCATAAGGATCAAGAAACATTATTACACAAGGACAAACCACTGAAGGTTGGAGTTTTCCTGGAGCTACAAAAGAAGACCGTGTCATTTTACTCCATCACTGACAAAGAAACACTTTTGCACACCTTTGAAATTAGTACTTTAAATCCTCTCTACCCTGCTTTCTGGCTGTACACTCTAGAAAGAAATGGATCTTTAACTATAAGTCAGCCAAACAGGAGATAAAGTCTATTGAGAACAGGGACAATTTTGCCAATGACTGCAGAGTTTCTATACAAGCCTCAGTGTTCAGCACAGGTGTGTACCACAGAACGAATATGTAACTACCCAGGCATTCCTGGGAATCAGCAACTGATACTTCTGTCTGCTCTCCTCTTCACACTGTGCTCTGGGCTAGCCATACTTCACTAAAGCAATTCCAGCCTATGCTGAAGGCAGTTACCACCCCTGTGGGAATCTGGTGGGTTTCTCTAGCAGCTTTAAGTAGTCCAGGATATTCCTAGGAAAGAATGTGCTAAGGAAGCTCTAATGCTGGGGATAAGCCTTTCTCATGGACTTCATTTTTCCTACATTGATATTAAAAAATACAGGAAAACAGATTATGACATTACTTCCTGTCAAGTGAGTTTTCTTTAGACAAATCTGATTGATTAAGGAATGCTCAGAGGTCAAGAATGTTACTGATCTTACGTATGAAAATCTTTCCCTTTAGGGTAGGCACTAACTTGGAAATAGGCTTTGGATTTGAGGACCTGACATTTCAGGGATGTATTTCAGAAGAACATTGTCTCACTGGAACCATATTTTAATCTTTCCCAGGCCAAAGGGTCAGTCCTGGTGGTGGTGTGACCACAGGCATAGTTGTGGAAGCAGATGTTTGGGTGTGTACCCAAACCAGCTAATAAATCATGTGGTCACTTTACTGCCCTTTTAAAGGGCCTGCAAACAGGACTCTGTCATGGGAAGGACCATCTGGTCTTGCCAGCAAGCCTGAGACAAAGCAAGAAGTCCTCAGTTGGCCTGTGGGGGGTGAAGGGACCAGAGCTGAGGTCCCACAAAATTTACAGACGGCTTGATTTCTGAGAGATCTACTGCTTCATGCAAGCAAACTGTCAACAGCATTCCCAAGAAGCAAAAGCTTTTTCTTCAGTCGGAAGACAGTGACATTTCAGAATTGACAAAATAAATAGTTTGTTCTGAATAAAGCATGTGGGATTCAACTATCTCATTTAGTAGAATGGAGCTCCTTGGCTTTTAAAGTAATTGACAGAACTTCTCACCTTCAGTTACTCTCTGCTGTCTCTGAACGCTGATGGACCACATGCACATTTGTTTGATACCAGGGGTGTCTTTTAGCATCTCCAAGGCTGGGGTAGCTTTCCTGGGATAGCCAAAGCCACTGTTAGTATTGAGGTGTCCTTTGCTGGTTCTTCTGGAAACAGCATGAACTCACTGGACATCTCTAATCTTCCCGCATACTAATTATGCCGTAGTGCCCAGGGGCAGAAATTTCTTTTGGGTTGGATCACGAGAGCACACATTAACAACACGCAGTGAAGATGGAACCCCGCTGTGTCACCACTTGAACAGTGGGAAGAATTTCCTGATTAGGTGATGAAACATTTGAACGGGCTGCCCCAGTTGGAGCCACCATCCTTGGGGGTGTTTAAGGAAAGACTCGACATGGCACTCGGTTGGTACCGGTGGTGTTGGCTCATAGGTTGGACGGGATGATCTCTCAGGTCTTTCCCAGCTTCACTGATTCAGTGATCCCCGGTGTGCTCCGAGTGCCGCGGGCTGTCCCTCAGCGCTCGCAGCGGTCACTGCCAGCCCGAGGAGCCGCCGCCTCCCGCCCGCGCCCTCAGGNCGCCCCGCCTGATGTGAGCGGCCCCGGGCCGGGGGCAGCGAGCGCGGCCATGAAGAAAGACGTGCGGATCCTGCTGGTGGGAGAACGTGAGTGCCGAGGCAGGAGGGCCGGGGAAAGGCGCGGGCCGCCGGCTGTCACATCGCCCCGGTTCCGTGAGGCTCTGCCCGGCCCGGGCGAGCCCGGGGCAGCGCCGGCCCCGCGGGACCAGCAGAGGTTGGGGCGGGCTCGCTGTGACCTCGGAGCGCGGCCTGGAGCCCCTCCGCTCCCTGCTCTGGGCACCAGCACGGCCGGCACTTGCTGGAATTGTGCTTCTTGGACGTCCCTGGAGATGACACCGGGGTGAAATTCTAGCTCCGTATTTGGCCACGGCCTGTTTAAACTTTTAGTTTCCTTTTTATTTTATTCTTTTGTGGCTTTTTTCTTTTTTTTTTTTTTTTTTTTTTTTTTTTTACTCATGTGAAAACCACACTTGCATGTTTCCCATTTACTTTGGAAATGAGTGGTCTGATGTGCTTCTAGTGGTTATAGGTCGGGTATTGTGGATTTAGGGCCAGGGACTCCCGATCACTTTTTTTGCTTTTATCTTTCTTCGTGACCTTGGATAAATAGCACACACATACGGCATGCCAGAGCTACTGTTGGTCTGGATTTTTTCATGTGTTCCTAAAATTGTGTCCTGAAATTCACGCTTAGGTACCTGAATAATTGACAAGGCTTGCAGAGGCTCAGCCTTTTCATCGGTATAAATAGCAGCAAGGAGGTTCTGTTAGTTTGCAAAGTGAGCTTAAGTTCCTCGAGGGGAAAGAATACAGAGTAATTACCAAGTGTTATTAGTAAAATTACCTAGTTATACTAAGAATGTGGTACTACTGACAAAGCTTTCCTGAGGATTGAATGCCCCATATATATTTATAGTGCAGTTTATGCTGTTGTTTTATAGTGCAGGTTGGTTCTGTCTGTACTGCATAGAAAGGCTCTCTGTGACTTTTCTAGGGAGGAATCTTGAGGGAGCTGTCACTGTACAGAAAGAGCTAACCCATTAAGATTGTATTGGTTTAGTTTTGCATGACTGTGTTTAGGAATTGGTGCCATTGAATACACAGTTTAATTCCTCTTTAGAATACATGCCCGATTTACCTCACTGCAAGGCTGTGTTCTGGGCTGGCTCTGTGCAGTTTCAGCACAGGTGTAACAGGTACTTTGTTTTGGCTACAAGGTTCACAGTGTGTCCAAATGGGAACGTTAAAGATACAGGTTTCTTAAATACAGCAATGTGTAGTAAATGGCACACATCAGAGATTGTGAGGATCTCTGTGTTACACTTTTGTTTGACTTGTAGTGAGGAGGAGGGAGAAATTTGTTTTACAAATTGGTAAAACTTGTCAGTTATAGTGCCAGTCCTGACTTGTGTGTTATGTATATTTATTGGTCTGAAACCACAAGTTAGTCCAGACCATATAAAACTTGTTAGATGGTAACAGCAGACCATCAGGTTCAGAATCTGAAATATGCCAAGAATTCTTTATTGTAAGCCTGTTCCAAAACTCAGCCTTTTTCATCCCCGGTTGTCCACAGTTTAAGTTGGTTTAGTCCTCGTACACAGGGTACAAACATCAATTTTTAATAATAAGTAATTTTCAGAATATTTCAGCATGTTATGCAGCATGATATAAAAGACATATATGAGGAAAAAGACAAATTAACTGTCATAAAGTGCTGTGCTGCTTTGCTTCATTCCAGTAAGCTCATACTGTTTAGGCTGTTATTTCTAAGACTATAAACAGATTGGGAAAGACAGAGGGTTGACCTAGATTTGAACAAAATAACCCAAATCTCTATACTAGAACCTATGGATTTTCATAAAACTCAAGGAACTCTAGAAAGTTCTAGCACTTCTAAATACTGAACATTTACTCACCAGTAACACATAATTTTCTATTTCCAGACATAAGAAGTGGGTTTCTATATCTGCAAAGCCAGTTTTGCCACTGTTTCAAGTTAGAACTGTCTTGGTCAGCTGCAAAATACACATCACTATTTTCACTAAAATTAATAACTTTACTTTCCTGTAAGGAAAGTACTCATCTTTTTTCCGTATGGAAATAGGAGAGCTTCTGAAGCTCCTTCAATTCTGTCGGGATGAAAATTAAGATGGAGTTGATGCAGAAGGATGCCTGCAGTTTAAGTTACGATTTTAGCTCATTTGAGTGTCTCTGATGGAAACACAACTGCATTGCTATTGGGAAACCTGCAACCTGATTCTCTGCAGGGAGTACCACCAGGGAAAAGTTTACAGTTCTTCTCTGTAAGGAAAACAGAAATCTTTCTCCTCAGAATAGCTTTTCTTTGCTTTTCATAATTTTATTACAACTACTCTTTACCGTGGTGAGTTAAAGAGAAGTTTTTATTTCTGGATGTCAGAACATGTTACTGTGCCAAAAATAGACCTAGATAAGTTGAATATACGCTGACTGGATCATCAGTAACACCAATTCCTGCACAAAATCAACCAGTGGCACAATCACACCTCTTTGTCTTCCATATTCAGAATTCTATACAATTACATGGAGAACTGTAAATGCAGTGATATCAGCAGAACAACTTCTGTCACCTGGTGACATTTTCTGTTGGTTTCAGTAGGAACAGTGACCCAGGCTCTGACTGATGGTGAGCAGTGCCTTGGTTGGTAGCACATTCTTGCTGGCAGAGGTGCTGGTACATCCAGGGTGAACTTGAGTTTTGCTTGAAATTGAGAGCTGTTGCAAATAGACACTCCCAGAGGATATTTGAATATGAACATTTTGGTTTTTAAGAAATGCCTCAAAACCAAATAAAGCAGTAATAGTCTTACAAGGCTTCTAGAGGACCAGAAAATTGACAGATGAAGGGCTTTAGAGAGAGCGAAACTCTGAGAGAAGTTACCAGTTCTTGCTTTTGAGTGGTCACACTAGAACTTCTCAAAACCAGGCAACTAAGTTGTGATGGTAGAAGTCTGAACTTTGCAGGTAAACAGTCATTTATTTAATTGAATGGTGTTGGGTGGGTACTGAAGCTGAAATGATCATCTTGGATTAAGAAAACTATGACTTCAGAAGGGTTGGTGGCTTGGGGTATTTTTTCACTTTCAGTGGGAGACAGCTCATTTGTATGAAAGAGATTAAGCTCTTGAACTTTAAAAATAGTCAAAGTAGTGGAGACTTTGTTTCTGCGCTCTTGTCCGTCTCTCATCCTTGGTATTTTAGGACTAAAGTGCAATCATCGTATCAAGAATTCTATAAAAGCAGTTAATTTCTACATGCTTTTCTGTGTGTTTTCTTTGTTTCTATTTCTGAAGTTATATTGAAGAATTTCTGATTTGTTTTGATTATTTGTTAGTTTCAGTGTTCTATGTTACGGTTAAAACTGGCAATTCTTCTGTGTAAGGCAGAGCAGAATTTACTTCCCTTCTGGAGGAAATGCAGAAGTGGGAGATGGAGGCCAAATTTTTGCAGTAAAGGAATTATGAGAATATTGCTATCATCCATATTTAATATGATTAAACAACAGCTTAAAAACTTTTTATGTGGTGAATTGGGAAATGTTTTTAAATTCCTCCCATTTTAAGATAGGGTACAACTGTTAAGTTTAACAAAATAAATTATCTAATATCTGTTTTTAATGCTTTTGCAGCCAGAGTTGGGAAGACATCACTAATTATGTCTCTTGTCAGTGAGGAATTCCCAGAAGAGGTAGAGCACTTTTATTTGTTTTCTAAGTTTTATTTCTATCCTGTCATATAATAAGTTAATAGACTCTGCTCTGAAGTAATGTTTAAAAACAAAATAAAGTTTAAATTGGGAAAGGTGACTTAAGGAAGAGCGAGGTAGGAAAGTTTAAATATATCGCTGCATGAAGATTAGAAATTCAAGTTTTATCTAAGTGTCTTTCTTATTTTTCATATTGCTAATTAAAAAAGTCGGTTTATATGTGATGAATGGTAGTCTCTTTAAAGAGCTGCATATTTCAATGAGAGACACATAAATGGGAAGGTGCTGAAAGAGACAGGACCATCAATTATTTGTGGGGGTATAACTTCGCCATCTTTTGTAACTAAGCAAGACATTGCCTTTACTTATGTCTTTAAAGAATGTTTTATTGACTCTTGAAGTAAAAACTGCAGAAGAAACTACTTCTATATATTATTCCTTTAAAAAGCAGCACATAGTTTTCTTTGCTGCATATAAAGAACAACAGCTGCTGCAAATAGTTAAGCTTTTTACACATAAACATGAATGTTTATTTCTTCTGATCACAGGTCTTAAAATAGACATCATGTGCTGCTCTTTGAATCTACTCTGC